TCTTTGAGTAACTTTTTATTACAGATTTCTTGTTACTTTTTAGGCAAGAGGTAGGCAGGACTTCACTCTGGACCAGATGTGAGGCTGGCCTAAACAGGAACAGGGTTCTGAAAGGACCTCTCCATAAGACACGCTCACCAATGCTATGACAGTTTACCATTGCCATAGCAACATCCAGAAGTCATACCCTTTGCCATGGCAACACCTGGAAATTCCTGCCCCTGCCATGGCAACACCTGGAAGTTGGGGCACACCACCCACTTTCTAGCTATTTCTGAACAACCCACCCCTTAATTATCACATGATTAAAGGTGGGTATAAATGTGACTGTAAAACTGCCCCTGACTGCTCCTCTCAGCCCTCTGCCTATGAAATACCCCTGCTCTGCAGGAGTAGTCACAGAGTGTAACACCGTTGCCACCTAATAAAGTTATTTTCTTCTATCACCAGCTTACTCTTACATTCCTTCCTGAACAAAGCCAAGAACTGGCTTTGCATCAGTATTGAGCCAGCCACCCACCACTAGAGATGGTGAGAGGCAGCATTTGATGTGGCAGTGAGACTGTGGAAACAGCAGAGAAGCTGGACAGCAAGACACAGCAAGAGATGGCACTTTATGAGAAGATGGACAGAGCAATCAGCAATGGGCAAGACAGCTATTGGAGACGTGGCAAGACAGAGACCAGTGAGAGAGGGCGAGACGGTGATCAGCGCTACAGCCATCAAAGCTACAAAGTTGCTAACATTGCAGAGCTGTTAACACTGGCCAAAGGCTGTTTGAAGAGCCACCATCTTTCCTGACAGGCAGTGGAGCCCTGGGGATGGGCAAGTGGCCACAGAGTCACTGCTTCATGCAGGCCAGCGGCTCCGTGCCCCAGTTCCCCCACAGGAGCCCAACCTACCCAAGCTGGGGAGCCTGGAGAGATCTTCACGCAGGCCCCACGTTAGAGACCGCTTGGCACCATTTTGGTTCCTGCACACCGGTAAGGGTCTCATCTACCCACCTGCTCTATATCGGATGATCCAGGGAATAAGGCCTTCGGCTAGATAGTACATTTGAAGTCCCCCATAGCACACCTGATTACATCCTGGTTGCTCCTTCTCTTAGTCATTTCTCCTCTAATGTCATTTTATTTATCCATCAGCCATTTTATCTTATTTTCTGCCCTGATATATATGTTTGGTTTTTACTTTTGTCTTTGGCTCCCTGCTAATTAGGTTTGTGCAATTGTTTAAGGCAGGACACTTGGTTGTAAGAATTCTCCTGTTCTGTTGACTCTAAGAAGCCAGAGTTACATTGTTCTATGGCCCCAACCCGGCCTTTGGGGCTCATTGTTGGCCACCCCACTGAGGCTCCAGGATTTTCTGCATTGTTCAGTCCCTGGATATTCCAGAATTTCCTGGCATTTGGTGTGGGGCACTCACAGGCTGATAGTTGGGTACTCTGGGTTTTCAGAATTTGGTATTTTTGGTCACTACCTGGATGCTCCAGAGTTTTCAGCCTTGACATTCCTTCTTGGATTGTGCATTGGAGGTTCATGCTGCAGGAGTCTTGGTTTGCCTTCTCTTGTTTTCTGCCCTAAAGTTATCGTTTTCCATAATGCCATTTTGTTTTCTTATTGTCACTTTATTTACACATTTTCTTCTACACTTTACTTAATAAAAATATCACTTAAAGCCTGGTGGAGTGCCTCATGCCTGTAATCCCAGCGCTTTTGGCGGCCAAGGTAGATGGATCATTTGAGGTCAGGAAGACCAGCCTGGCCAACATGGTGAAACCCTGTCTCTATTAAAAATATCAAAAAACGAGTTGAACTTAGTGGAACACGCCTGTCATCCCAGCTACTTGGGTGTCTGAGGCATGAGGATCACTTGAACCCAGGAGGCGAATGTTGCACAAGGCCGAGATTGCACCATGGCACTCCAGCCTGAGTGACAGAGTGAGAGTCTGTCTCAAATAATAATAATAATAAATACAAATTTAAAAATAAAAAATAGGCCGGGCGCGGTGGCTCAAGCCTGTAATCCCAGCACTTTGGGAGGCCGAGACGGGTGGATCACGAGGTCAGGAGATCGAGACACGGTGAAACCCCGTCTCTACTAAAAAAAAAATACAAAAAACTAGCCGGGCGAGGTGGCGGGCGCCTGTAGTCCCAGCTACTCGGGAGGCTGAGGCAGTAGAATGGCGTGAACCCGGGAGGCGGAGCTTGCAGTGAGCTGAGATCTGGCCACTGCACTCCAGCATGGGCGACAGAGCGAGACTCTGTCTCAAAAAAAATAAATAAAAAATAAAAAATAAAAAATAAAAATACTGCTTTAGTCATATTTTGTTCACTAACAAATGCTTATAATCCATTTTCATGTCTTCCTACCTCTACCTTCTATGCAGGAAGTGGAAATCTGAGAAGAGGACAATGATGGCCCAGTCACCTTCCCTCTTGTTAGACTTAGAAAAACTTCTGTGTCCAGTAGAAATCCTTGATAGAAATGGGGACAATGGCAATCATCACAGAGGACTCGTCACTAGGGTTCCTATTAGGTTATTGGAGCAAATCCAAATTCAGCTTAAAGAAAAAGAAACTCATTTTCTATCACAACACTGCTTGGGTTCAACATAAATTCGAACACCAGGAGACTTGTCTTAAACATGGTTCCATACATTATAATACTATTTTACAATTAGACTTATTCTGTAAAAAAGAAGAAAAGTTCTCTTGTGTACACGCTTTTGTGGCCCTCTACTCCCCCCTATTTTTAGCTGCGTGTGGTGGCACATGCCTGTAATCCCAACACACTGGGAGGCTGAGGCAGGAGAATCGCTTGAACCAGGGAGATGGAGGTTACAGTGACCCAAGTTCGCACCACTGCACTACAGCCTGGGTGACAGAGTGAGATTATGTCTCAAAAAAAAAAAAAAAAAAGCATCTTTGAATTTTAAACATCAATTTGACAAGAAATTCACAGTTCCTTCTCTTTAAAATAATGTAATGTTTCTTTTAAGAATGATCCTGATTTGATGCCTCTCTACCCAACATGATAGAAGTGTGGCAAAAATCTATGAAAAATTCCAATTCCCTGTGCCTACAACAACTACCTGGGTTTGAAAATTTCTTCCCTTTCTCTCGTCATTTCTTCAACATCCACTTCCACCTAGTCCATGACTCAAAACAATACTTGTCAGGAAACATTCTGGAAAGAGCAAGAAAGACTTCCTTAGAGGTGTCAGAGATTCCTGTACCACCATCTGATGATCTCTAGAGGGAGTTGTGAGTGTGAGGAAGAGCAGAGCTTGTAAATCTACCTGCATTCACTCCCACTGTATTTCCTAACAACAACCACAGCAACACCTGTAACATCATAGGACAAGCCTCTACTACTTCCAAGGCTTTTATCTCAGTAAATCTTCTCTACCTCTATCTCAGGCAGCTAGAAAGTTTGATACTCATACAAATAGTACTGTAGCTTTTTGCTCATAATTGGAAAAGCAGGCAAGACCCAAGATAATACAGGCATTCCTTAAGCCAGTTAGCATTCTGTTTTTGGATCACCATTGTACGCATGTACCAGGCATATGTCTAAGATAGATGTAAAAATCCATGAAGCAAGAGTTACAATAGCTTGTGTTTTCTATTGTATTGTATTTTTCTCTTACATCGTCTTCTCTTCTTTGTCATTAAAAAATATGTTAAAGTCAGTCTAAATTAATTATTGGATCATAAGTATATAAAATGTTTTATTTGATAACACATTGACCCATTTGATATTTGATAACACATTGTTTCTTTGCAAGACATAGTCTTCATTTCCAAGATAACAAGACTGACAAAATTATACTGGAGCAAGTCCACAAGCAATGATGGCAGCTTATACTTATTGTCCTGCAGCAAGTATTAAACAAAAGATAACAAGGTAGAATAAAGATTATATAAGAAAGAAGGACAGCAACAGGACATGGTAACCCTTTACAGTGTAGCATTTTGATAATGAATGATGATAAGTAATACATTAGATGGCGATGGGTGGGAATGATTGAAGGTCTGAGTACTTCAGCACAGATTAAGACCAAATCATTAGGATTTTTAGAGTTGTGTACAGGTACTGAAGAAAAAGCCTTAAACTTTAGTTTGACTGTGGATAAAACATTCTTGGATTAGATTTAAGACTATTTTCCATGCTAAGTTTATTTATGATAATGATGATGACTGTAGTGCTTAATATTCAAACAATAAAAGTAAAATTAATTCCCACATACATAATGTAATAAATACTATTGTAAATGTTTTATCTTATTTTATTTAAACTGTCTACAGCACTATAAGATAGGTACCACTATTGTCACAGTTACACAGATATGGAAACTGAGACACAGGGAAGTGAAGTTACTTGATCAATTTCAAGCAATCGGCAAGCCATGGAGCATCTGTGTCAGGGCCTGCCAGGACATGGGACTGTAAACAGAAGTTTTTCACTTTTAACTCAAAGAGGGTATGTGTCTGGGTTAATGAAAAGCTTCACGACCCTCAGAAAACATTATTAACAAGCAAATGAAGGTGTGTCTGGAAGATTACGTTGTAACAGACTCTTCATTTCGATACATTCAATAATGCATTTAGGGGGACGACTGGGCATATTGAGGATAGGAAGACGAAGAAAATGAAAACACAGCCTTTTATATTGTTCTTAACAGGCTTGTACCAAACATCATCTGGGTGAATTTAGGTGATTGAGGAGAAGAAAGACAAAAGAGTGAAATTCTGTGATCACCAGGGGCAAGTTCTACACTCAGACTGAGCCAACAGACTTTTCTGACCTGACAACCAGGGAGGCACAGGATGCTTAGTGCAGAGAGGAAGAAGCAGGTGGTCCCTACAGCTGGAAGCCCAGCTCCCACCCCAGCTGCTTTGCATGTCCCTCCCAGCTGCCCTACCTTCCAGAGCCCATATCAATGCCTGGGTCAGAGCCCCTTGGGAGAACTGGCCTCGTTAGGACCCAGAGGAACCATGGAAGGCCCCCAAAGGACAGCTTCCCTCTTCCTCCTGCTACTCTGGCTCCCAGGTGAGGGGAACATGAGGTGGTTTTGCACATCAATGAAAACTCCTGACACCTCTGCTCTGCAGGAAATATAATTAAAATTCAATGTAGATCAACAATTTTGCCTCTCCTCAAAGGCAGTGGTTTTGATCTTGATTACATGAGTGTGTTTCTGTTTTCTTTCCAATTTCAGATACCACCGGAGAAATTGTGTTGACGCAGTCTCCAGCCACGCTGTCTTTGTCTCCAGGAGAAAGAGCCACCCTCTCCTGCAGGGCCAGTCAGAGTGTCAGCAGCAGCTTAGCCTGGTACCAGCAGAAACCTGGGCAGGCTCCCAGGCTCCTCATCTATGGTGCATCCAGCAGGGCCACTGGCATCCCAGACAGGTTCAGTGGCAGTGGGTCTGGGACAGAGTTCACTCTCACCATCAGCAGCCTGGAGCCTGAAGATTTTGCTGTTTATTATTGTCAGCAGTATAGTAACTGGCCTCACACAGTGATTCAACCTGAAACAAAAACCTCAACAAGACCCTCAGTGTTTCCTCATTATACCAGCTGCTTCCTTGACAGACAGCTAGTGGGGTGGCCACACAGTTTTAGCATCTCTGCTCTATTTGGCTATTTTGGAGTTCACGTTCTAAAGTCCAAAATGACTTATATTAATCCATTACCTCATTCCATTTCAGCATGGCTATTAATCGCATTTTAGAAGACATCTCTGTTTATGGCATCACAAAGAGTTTAATAAATCTTCTGTGCAAAAATAAACAACAAACACACTCTTAAAGCTGAAATATCAAAACTCTTTCAGCACTCTGAAAACTGGCAAACCATGAAGTAATTAAGGATACATATTCTTTATAGAATAAAAAAAGTACTAGTACTTTGAGTAAGGACAGATAAAGTCTGTATGTAGCTTTTTACCTGTGACAGCACCCTTTTATTTCCAGGTCAGTCAGCATGATTTACAGAACTGGAGTTTTAGCAATGTGAGGATAGCAAATAAAACTGGCAGCTTGCTGCCAAAGCGGGTAGACTTGAGTAAAGCCAAGGAGTGGAAAAAAATTCTTCAGTGTTTCCAGCTAAACGTGGAGAACTCCACAGGATAGGAACAGAAAAAACCCATAGCTTTACTAGTCCAAGATGATGCCCTGTTTGGGGCAAGTAGTGCATCTGCTGATAGTAAATAGCCGATTCCTGGATAACATAGACCCATATTGCTGAAACAATCTCTACACACATTCCTAGTGACCTAGAAGCTATAGATATGAGTGATGAGAACCAGGAGTTTTTGTGCAAAGTAAAACCAGAGGGAGATAGGAACTAGCTGCATTTTGTATGCAGTTTGCTTTTTAAACCACACACAGATGGGTTGACAGAAGATAGATGTATACACTCCAGATATTTGAGCAAAATGTCTCAAATCATTGGTGACCACTTCGCTGTGCAGACACATGTGCAGTTCCTATAAATTCAAACTAAAGATTGATGTTAAAAATAAAAGGAAGCAGAGATATCTGTGGTCAAACACCATGTGAGATACAGATTTTTCAATATCATGCATGAAAATACATTTAATACATCTAATCCACTGAACATTATAGCTCAGCCTATCCCATCCTAAATGTGCACAGAACACTTACATTAGCTTACTGTTGGTCAATGTTATCTTACACAAAGCTTATCTTACAATAAACTGTTGAATACCTCATGTAATGTATTGAATATTGTACTGAAAGAGAAAATACAATAGTTGTATGAATACTAGAAGTTCTATTTCTACTTGAATGCATATCACATTCACACCATCTGAAAGTCAAAAAACCATAACTCAAACTATCTTAAGTCAGGTACTATCAGAAAGTTCAGACAAGTAACTAAGAAGAAAATTTAAAAATGATCAGAAAAAAAAAACCAACAACAACAAATTCCAGGCCTGGCATGGTGGCTCAAGCCTGTAATCCCAGTAATTTTGCGTAAGCAGATGGACCCTGAGTCACCCAAAATAAAACAAGAAAGATATTCTCAGTGGTCTCTGAAGCATCTGAGAGGAACCAAAATGAGTAAAAAGGGCCTTCACAGAAAAGTAGGCTCACTCTCTACAAAAGAGACATGAAAAAGGCCAGGGAAGTCTTATGCAGCCTGATTGGTGTATTTGTTAGGTTAAGCCACATTGCAGACCCAAATGTCTTTGTCTGAAAGGCTCTGACAAAGGAATAGGGCCAAGGTCTCCACCAGAGACTACTGGCACTATATTCCTCTCAAGATAAAAGGTGAAAAAAAGGAATTCAGACTTCTCTGGGATTTTTATATGCTGTAATCCACCTGTCAATATTCCCAGGTCCCCTCAGAAAAAATTAAACTGATGACATCAGAAGGTGTCAGGACAAATGAGGATCCTGTGGTGAGTATGTGCTCATGTCCTGATCTGCATGTGCACCATTCCCTTTGGGGCATGTTGGGAACTGGTGACCATGACTCTCACTGCAGAGTGCAACAGAGGTACTGACATTTTACTGCTGTGCCACAGAACATCACTGCTGCCTGAGGGGCTATCCCCACTCATAGCTAAGTATTCAAGGCATGACAGTGGGGCATATCCACTCCTGCATGCCTCCTAAGCTTCCCAAGCCCCAGAACCTTATTCAGCAAAAGCAGGACTGCATATTCAACGGAAATTGGAACACTACCTAGTTAATTTAATAGTTGCTACAAAAAGATTAAAATGTCACAAAGCCTGGTGTCACAGTGGAACAACCCACTTTGGCAGACCAACGATGGACTGTTGAAGGATGAATGTCAAAGCCACCTGAAAATGAAACCGAGGAGGTATCCCAGGTACAGTTACGAGGAGGTATCCCAGGTATAGTTAATCATTGTTGGTCCTGGTGGCATCCACTAATAAGAAGGAGACCCACAAGCTAGTAGGTATTTTTGTGTACTGGGGACAAACCTTACCTGGGTGTTCTTTTTGTCACGTTAGTCAAAATGATGAACAAACTTGCCATCCTTGAACGAAGCCCTTTGCAATGGTACCCTTGGAATTTGTTCAACAAGGCATGACTGAGGCACATCTTTTAAACCTTTAGAGCCTGTTTCCTTGATGGAAATCCAGGTGTCCACCATTTCTATGCATGCAGACTGAAGCCTGTGTCAACAGCAGACACCAGTTGTGCCTCTTTTGAAAAGCCACTCCTTGCTTGCTGTAGGAAACTGATAGGGGCTGAGTGTCTCAGAGCTAGAGTATGAGGCATGACGCCACTACCTTAACTACCCATTCTCACCTTGGTGCCTAGAAACACAATCAATAAAGCTGGAAAGGCCCAACAGATCCAAATTATTAAATGGAAATGATGCAGTCAGAATTCTCCCTAACCCTGTTCACATAGGATCCATGTGCAAAGGAATGAATTCCTATAAATAAATGACAAGTCTCCTAGAAGGGAACGAATGACCCATAGGGGATGATTTAGCTTCTCCTTTGGCCACAATGAGCCAAAGATTCAGAGACATGCCTGTGTCAGTATGGCATGGGGACCTGATGATTGTACAAAACAGATGCCAGTGGGTCCACTGGGTGTGACCACCATTAAGCCAGGGAATGGCATCTTTTGACTGACACTGAACATGGACATTCTACCCAGTGGGCCAAACTACATGCAATGACAGTAGCCATGCTGACTGTCCCTACACTATATTTTATTCCATTTCCACTAAATCATGGGCCATTGTCAACAACCCAGCTACCTGGTCAGGAAAATAGCAACTGAGTGACTGAACTATTAAAGGATACCCTGTGCAGGGAAAAGGACTATGAGAATAGTTTGCTTCTTGGACACCTAAATATGTGTCACACAATTAGATGCTGGGGCTACCATGGCCACCTTCGAGAGGAATTTATGTCATGTTTTTGAATATTCCATGAGACTTCACTTTGACCAAGAAACAACCTCACTGTACAATCAACATGACAATGGGCACGTTCTCATGGAACATAATGGATGTTCCATGTAATCACCAACACCTAACACTGCCTGCTGTACCTGGATAAACACCTCAGGTATCCTAGAAATACAAGTAGAGGTGATCCTGACACAGGCTCAATGACTGCAGACAACGGGGCAACTGAAAGATCCCCCTTTCACCTCTTTAGCTGCAGTGGTCCTTAGAGCTGCCCTGAAAGGGTTTGTTGCATGGGAGGAAGGAGACTGGGATGACAGTTCCAGAACAGCACCCTGTGCTTCCCATTCTCACCCCTGCCATTAGGTCCTACAGGATTCCTCGTGGCCCATCATTTCTTCCAAAACCTTTGACATCTCACATGGGTCATAGAATCTAGCTCATAATAGTTTTGTGACAAATAACTTTTCTGAATATCTTTTGTCCTCAATTATGTAACTAGTTTACTGACAACAGAAATTATTTTGTGAATCTGGCCTAGTGATGGATGAATCTGGCCTGAGATCCCCTTCATTAATATCCATGAAAAGACTCACACTCAAGACTCACTGGGACTCAGCATCTGCAATCCTATATAAGATGCTAAGCCACAATCCTGACACTAGATGGCAGACAAACCCCATAATAACCCTAACATCTAAGCCTGATCATAGAAATACTGGGAGAGCTTAGGAGTGATAATGTTTCATTATCAATAGCCCCTAAGGCTGGAATGTGGTCTCTGTGTTACCTAGACTACCTGGGAGGAGCTGCCAGTGTCCTGAGTTGTGGGAACCACCTCTGTGCTCTGTGCTCTGTGCTCTGAGACTAGAAGCCCAGCCTTGCCTTCATGCCCGCCTTGGCTGTGTCCCCAAAGTCCACCTACTATGGAGCAAATTGTGCTTCAGAAATTCTTATCTTGAATCTGTAACTTCCAGTATAGCTGCATTTGAAGATAAAGCTTATAAGGTGGTAATTGGGGTTAAAGGAGATGATAAGGGTGGGGCTCTGATTCAACAAGATTAGTGTCTTTATAAAAAGAGACCCCATTGAGCTCTCCTCCACCCCCAACATCCATGCATGCAGTGGGGAAAGGCCATGTGAGGACATGGACAGAAGGTGGCATCTGAAAATCAGAGGGAGTGTCCTCAGCAGAAAGCAGATCTTTCTGGATCTTTATCTTGGACTTCCCAGCTTTCCAAACTGTTAGAAGTAAATGTCCTTCCTTTAAGCCATCCAGCCCAGGGAATTTTGATGTGGCAGTCCCAGCAGACGATCTACTGCCCCCACCTTCTCTGAGCAGGATCAGCCTCAGGGGGCACCTTGTGGACTTTGGACCCATCTTTTCTTCTCTTCCACCTTCTGTTCTGACTGCCTGGTGAGGAAGGGGGACTGAAGCTTCATCCTCAGATAGTTTGTATTCAACATGAACATTCTTTGATGATGAAGTGGTTAGCCTGCTTTTTCTCTTTCTGATCAGAATTGCATCAAATTGAATGAACTGCTTGCTTCATATTAATATCTGGGCATCTGCATGTTTGCTTCCCACTTGGATAATAGTCAGCATGTTGTGTGGATGTCATCTCCAGCCCCCTCCCTGTGTCCCAAGTGAGAGGGTCACTGTCACCTGCAGGGCTGGCTGGACTATGAACAGCATCCTAGTCTGGCACCAGTGTAAATCAGGCCTTACTCTGAGCTCCCGCTGGCTCCTGCTGCCCCGCAGGACGTGATCCTTTCCTGGGCCAGGGGCAGCAGGCCTGAACAGATGTCACTCTGGCCATCAGCAACCAAGATGCCATCAGAGGGAGGTGTTCCCTCCTCCTGTCCCCTGTCATGCACAAATCTTCCCTAGCAATGGCTCTGCACAGGAGCTGCTAAGGGTCTGAAATCTTCTGAGGGAAACAGGCTGGTGACACCTCTGAATTCACATCTCCTCTTTGCTTCACATCCTCTTCCCGCCTCCTTTATGGACACCTCTAGTATATCTTGTGGGCATCACTGCCTGGAGCATGTCAGGATGTTTTCTCCCACCTCCTACTCCGAATTCATGATGTAAATTCATCTTCACTTCATGCCTCGGTGGGCCACGTCTTGTTTCTCTTATGTACATGGTCCGGCATGTTGCTGAACCCATGGTTCTGGCCCTACTCCTTGAATCTCTGTGGAAGGTTCATAGTTGGCAAGTCGTGGTTACTGGAGACCAGAAAGTAAACTGTGAAATATTGAGAAGCTTGTGCATGGAGTAGACATGGACCATTGTCAACAGAGTCCCAGCAGCTGGCAGCTGGTGAGCCATGAAAGCTGGGCAGAGAGATCCCACATCACCCCAGCCAGAGGGGAAGTTGGAAATCAGCCTTGGAGGGTCTTCATCTGTGACCATGCAGCCTCTGAGCCACATGTGCTGTTTTCTTTGATGGAAATGACCAGAAGAGGACTTGTCTATGCTGAGCTCTGGAGAAAACACTTCCCTCCATTCAGAGCCCAGACTCACTATCCATCTCCTGGGCATCTGCTGCTCTGTGATTCCACACACCCCACATCAGGTCACTCATTATCCTCAGCAATGGGCAGCTCTCTGCTCTCAGCCCAGGGGAACATGGAAGAGGGTCCTGAACTTTATCACTCTCAGGGACTGTGGTAATAAACGGGCCATCAGGTGCTGCACCTGGTGTTCATTTTCAATGTTCATGTTCGATTTATTAAAGTTTAAAACTATACCTTATACTAGCCATCAAAGTTCTCTTTATATATAAACATACATCACATATTTTTTCATAAACAGATACATAGTATATACAAATATAGAAATATAACTTAATTCTAAAGCATTATGTGTATTCAATATGTAAACTTTATATTAGAAATTCATGTTACATACACACATAATTTTACATTTATTTGTGTGATATGTGGTCCTTTTTTTTCCAAGCAGAACACAGTCAGGCTGAGTAAAGACTTTGAGGACATTTGCTGACCCTCCCTCTTTGGCTCCAACAAGGTCCCAGTCATTCAGGACCAGGGAGGGCACAGCTGACAGCACCCATCTCAGGAACACAGAGCCAGTCCTGAGGTCTGGGTCCTGAGACTTTCACTCTTGCCAGGCTGCGGGATATATGCTTAATGCAGCTGCTGTGAATTTGTAAGCAGTTTCCTTCCCTCAAGCCCCTGCCAGGCAGCCCTGTGGGCAGGGCCTGTGGTTCCTCCCAGGTCCTCAGCCCTGCGGTTCAGGAGAGCAGATGCTTCCTCCACAGCTCAGGCCAACGTCTGGCAACTCTCAGGCACTGCCAGCCTGACTTTAGCCCTGGGCTAAGGACCCTATTCCAAATGTCTTCCCATTTATTGCAGTACCTGAAAGTCTGTCTTGTTCTTAAACTCAAAGCCCACATTTCCATAATTGTGAAAGCTAGCATTTGCCACCTGGAAAATTAGAAATGTGAATTCATTGTCATTCTCAGAGCCTGGCCTCTTCCAAGCCCACCAGGTAAAGTTGCCCATATATTCACTCCTCTCCACACAACTTTACTTAGAATAATACTGAAATGTAACGGGTGGTAAAGCCTTTATCACCTGCACAGAAGCCATCCTCTTCTCCTTTGGTGTCTAGGGCACCAGCTCTATCCTGCTGGGCATAGTGAGGTCAGTGAGCCTCTTCCAGCCTGGGACAGGAGCAGGGATTAAGGGCACATGTGATTAGCTCCACAATGCAATGTCAGGGGAGTAAAGGAGGGGCAGGGACTCTGGGAAAAATTCGATCCTTCCTAAGAAGATGGAAGGTGAAGAGGTTTGCTTCACCTTCTAAAATCAATGACTTTATTTTTGATTTGGGAGCAGGGACATGTTTCATTTCCCTGACTCCTTCCACATCTCCTCTTTCTCTTACAATAGCTCTGACTCAGTCTGTCCCTCACAGATTGTGTACTGAAAATCTAATTTTCCCTCCTAATATGAAAACAAACCAACAAACAAAACCCTCTTATTCCTGTCATGTGCTGTAAGATCTGACCCCTAAACTCTGTGATACCTAGATCGTATAAGAAGTAATCATTCATTTTACCCAAGAGATTTTCTAGCTAAAAAGAATTTTTGTGCTAGCTCTTCTCTCAGAAAAATTTTCTCTGTCTCTTGCCAAAACTGACACCAGAAAACATATGTGGGGGATATGTGGGGGCAGCCATGTTGCCAGGCATATGTGGGAGAAAGGAAGAAGATGGTGGGAATCGCCATGTTTGGCTGGACTCAGTTTCTAATAGGCAGAATTTGCATATCAAAGCTTGCCAACCTGGCCCTATGAGTCAGGGCTTTCCTGCTGGACAATAAACTTTTCTGGAGAGGCTTTAATAGAAAGAAAACTTTCCCAAGGACCCCTTTTCCTCTCCATCTGCCTAAAATAATTTCTTAATAACTACTATAACACTTGGGTTCCAGAGACAAGGACATGGGCATCTTTTGGGGTGGGGACATTATTCATTCCACTGCCATAAACATATTCCCCAAAATTGTCCTTCTCAAAAGTAAAATTTAAAAAATCTCAAAGTATTTTCATGAAACAAGAGAGCTGGACCAAATCTTAGACTCAAGTTCCTTTAAATTGTGAGCTTTAACTGTTAAGATATGATCACTCCACTGTCTCTAACGTAGATTTATTGATGTGTAGACGGTTTTAGAGGATTTTTAAGTTTGTGACCCAGTGTAAACAAAAGAGTATCTGAGACAGGTCTCAATTAATTTGTAGGTTTATTTTGCCAAAGATAAAGCTTATGGCCTGTGACACAGCCTTAGGATGTCCTGCAAATATGTGCCCAAGGTGATAGGATTGCACGTTGGGTTTAAACACTTTGGAGAGACAGGAATTATGAGGAAAGACATAAATCAGTACATATAAGATATATATTAGTTTGTCCTGGAAAGATGGAATATCTTGAAGCAGGGGCTTCCAGGTGATACATGGATTCGAGGGATTCCTGACTGACCACTGGTTGACAGAGTTAAGGTCTGCCTAAAGAGTTGAATTCATCATAAAGAAATACTTGAGTTTAGATAAGGGTGCATGGAAGCCATGGTTCTTGTCATGTGGAAGAATCCTGTGGGTAGCAGACAAAGTAGATGGTGAATGGTGCCTATCAGACGTTTAAAAAAAAAAAGTCAGACTCTTTGGAAAAGACTTAGTAAGGGGAGGAGATTCTCTCAAGAATGAAAATTTCCCTCACTACAGGCAACTTTGCAGGGCCACTTCAGACTATGATGAAGAAATATATTTAGGGTTAAATATTTAGATTTTCTTCAGGGCCTATTCTCTGTCATGTTGGAGTATGGTGTCTTATTGCTACAAAGCATCTGTTTTGTCAGTCTAAAGATTTCCTTTGTAATGATAATGCTGGTCAGTTGTGTCTGAACTCCAAAGGGAGGAGAGTATAATGAGGCACATCTAAACTCACCTGCCAGTCATGGCCTGACCTAGTTTTCCTTTTTTCTTTGAAGTTATCTCTGCCAGGAGAGGAGACCTTTCAGCTGGTTGGTGGATTACAACTTATCTTTTTGTTTTAACAAACAGAACAACAACAACAAAAAATCACTGCATAAATTCACTCTAAAATAGATTGGTTAAAAAAAATAAGTGCTTCCTGAATATTCCTACATGTCAAAGAGAGAGAAATCATAAGAATAAAGATGGGAAATACCCCTCATAGAAAAGATAAACGATTTGTGTTACTATATTAGTTTGGGTCCACCAGCAATGAGGATTCCTGTTTAGGCAGCAAATTTACACTGGGAGGAAAGGAGGAAAATGAGGAAGGGAACAGAAGATGAAAGGTAAAAGACGTATCAACAACCCACCTGACTCAGGAGAAATGAAGATCACCCACATGTGGAAACATGGAGTAAATTCCTCTGGGCTGTTCCACCTGAGAGATGAGGAAGCTGGGGTATGTATACACCTCATCCTGTCCTCACTGATTGTGAGCTCCACCTCTTGTTCCATTTCAAGCTGCTATAACAGGTTCCTTGTCACTGTGTAATTCACAAAGAACAGAAATGAATTTTTCCACACTTCTAGGGAATGGGAAATTTAAGATCAAGGCATGGGCAGGTGAAGGTCTGCTTTCTCTGCTTTCAAGATGACGCCTGTAGCATTGACTCCTTCAAAGAAAGAAAAGCCTTGTCTTAACATGACAGATGAAAAGAAGAGAAAAAAAGATTCCAGCCTCATAAGCTCTGTTTATTGTGTCATTAATGTATTCCTCTAGAGGGCTCCACCCTCATGACCTAAACACATCCCAATAGGCCCCACCTGGCAATACCATTACACTGAAATTTAACTTTACAACAGATGGATTCTAGAGGACATAGTCAAACCATAGCACTTTCCTAAGAGATGCACATGCGAGGCCATCTGGCCAGCAAGGCATGCAGGCAGATCTCTCTGCCCAAGATCATAAAGAACCTAAGACATATATACGGCCATTGGAAGTGAGCACAGGTACAATAAAGGGGAAAGCCCTAGATTACAGATGGGGACTGCTACATTCATCATGGTATAGTCAACCCTAGAATAACTTGTGTTTTAAATTTGCAGATTCACATATATTTTCTTCTGTATGTGTCACCTGTGAGCAAGCACTTTGTAAGTAGTAAATATATTTTCTGTATTTTATGGTTTTCTTAATAACATTTTTTTCTTTAGCATACTTTTTTGGAAAAATAGAGTTTACAATATGTATAACTAAAAAAG